AATCCGGCTATGTAGAATTTCATCAAATAATGAGATAAGACGAAGTAACAGTTTTGGGCTCGTTGTCTAGTTGTCATAATAGTGCTTCTTATCCGGCATCATGCCCCTTTTGATTCAAAATCGCCTAAACTACTTCTTGCCTAGGGATGGACTGGCATAGTTTTCACGATGTAGGACGACTTCCCGGGGGGGAGGTGGGATGCGTGCGTGCCTACCCCGTGTAGCCCGTGAATTTTGAAAATTTTCTGTTTCGTACGTGTAGACGAGAGGGATGAAAAAGTTCATGTCAACTATACATTGACAAGTACTTTTGCCCAACATTGATTTTGAGTACCACCGCCAGGTACCTACATCATGAATCTCAAGTATAGCACCAGGATTCGATATGAGTCTGTCGAACCACTGATGTCCCGTAGATAATACGTCTCATGTTGTTCTCCTCTAGTTCCACTGTCTCACTGGTATAAATTCTCTCTGTTGGTACTTGTCATAGCTATGATGTGAGGAAGAATATAGTCACAAGATGTGTAGTAGGTAGAGCAACAGCGACCTTCCTCCTGCTCCCCACGTAAGAGTTTTAATGTAGAAGTAATATTATCGAGGTTCCCTATGGCCACCTGTGGATGGACGACATCATGACTACCTAGGTTTACTAGGCCCCACCCCCTCGTCACTTCCACGCTTCATCAGGCGACGACATGCTGCGTGAAGTAGCAGCTCAGCAAACATTACATCACTGATACCAACCATCCAACCCACTAAGCCTCTCTACACCTTCCCGAACCTCCCACTTACCTTCTTACTGAGGTAGGCACCCCCTCATTTCAGGCTTGGGTTCGTTCCTTGGTCAAGTGACTGCCACAACTCCCCGTACCTCATCCTCACTGCTTCATCCATCATCCATCACGACCTTCATCCATCATCCATCACGACCGTCATTCATCATCCATCACGATCTTTATCCATCAACATCTTGCGAGTGTAAGTGATACCTAGCTTGTATCTTCCCCCTGATCATTCATCTTGACATTTTGGAGATACCATCAACGCCATCAGCCCAGAAGGCACATCATCATCAAACCCAGACCCTGGCATCTTGCCATCCCTCATCTCACTGCTGCGCAGTCCCCATCCTCTTTTGCTAGCACATCTTAATATCCTCGTGCCTTTCACTCATCCGCTTTCTCGTATCAACTCTCTTGACGCGAAGAGCTAAACATCACCAGATCGTCACGCTATCTGAGCGATAGCCAATTGTCATCATCCCTCCTAAGACCTTTTCTACACATATTGATACCGCAAATCTACAGCATGGCGGATTCTTCAGCCCGCGTGGGATCCTCCCCAACTAGCTCGTCTTTGGAAGACACCAGTCTCCTCCTAGGCGCTGCTCGCAACCAGGCCAACAGAGAAGTCCTCAAGAATAGCGAGAAAGGCTGTATCACCAACTCTATATTCGGTAAACGAAAACGCGAGAATACTAGCATCGCTGGCTCGCCCCCAAGCCCAGCCCCTATTCTTGTCGGAGTTTTGCCCTTGGACGGACCCCAGTTTCATTCTAGACACGAGTCGGCGTACCCACTTTTGCCACGCCTGAACGGCTATGGATATGACCCCGTCCGGGACAACTATAGCATTGGCTCGAAGCACGGCGGTGTTGGCGGTGGTACTCAGGTGAAGAACACGCAGATATCCGCCTGGTCGCCCAGCGAAGTCCAGGAAAGAGCTCCTGCAAGTGATCATCAGGAGGAAGAGAATGAGACATCCACTTCTTCATCGCCCCGTAACGGCTCGGGATACGAATACGATCCCATCGAGAACGAAGACTCGGATTACGGCAGCGATGATGGTGATAACCAGGAGAAGGAGAAAGAGACACGTCCCTCGTCACCGCTATTCGCGTCACAGCTGGTCTCGTCGCCGCTGCCCTTGTCGCCGCTACGCGATCTCTACGCTCCTGATGTAACCCCCTGGAGAACGGCTATTAATTAGCGATATGGGTGGAAGGAAAGATGCTGCTTCGTCTCCTGGCTCTTACTTTGCTTTATCTCCTGGCTCTTACTTTGCTACCTATGATTAGGACTGAAAAATTCAGGAGAGATATGAAGAGGAAAAGACGAGGGTATTGAGAACAAAAATGGAGTGATGAGATTTGGGATGACAACGAGTCGGCAAGAGCTATCGCTTTCATCTTTTCTTGATCATTTTGCACGGATGGGCCGCTGCGCGTTTTTCTGCATATTGGCTTTTGATATTGGCTTTTGAGATTGGCTTTTTATATTCGCCTTTGATATTCGCTTTTTATATTCGCTTTTGATATTCGCTTTTTATATTCGCTTTTTATATTCGCTTTTGATATTCGCTTTTGATATTCGCTTGGCATAGCTGGATACTAAGCATCTTGAGGAAGAGAAGAAAACGTGGAGGGAAGGGAGAAGTTCACACCTTAACCACACCGGTGGTCATGAGCCTGAGAAATTGTTTCTCCAGATTGTCAACCGTCTGCAGTGAAATCATCATGTGATGGAGAAGGATATGATGTTTGGGTGGTTGTCGCGGTATGGACCCAGGGCTAATAGCCACAAAAAAAGTTGAGCAGGAAGGGAACTTTGCAGATACTCACCGGACACGCTTACACTGGCTACTCCACTTGCTGCTATAGGACCTGGCATAGCCACGGATTCTTCTTCCCTAGCGCAAAAACTGGCGGAGGACAATGTACGAGATGCAATAATTTACGTTTCCGTGAATATTCGTGATATTGACGTATATGATAAGAAACAGTAGAAACATGAGCCCATCGGCCCCGAGGCGATACTTAGGCCCGGCCCGTGCCCTAGTGTGCTGATCGAAAGTTACGCTTTATAGTAGCTATAAGTAGGTATACCCAGTCTCAGGCTCGCCCGAGGATATAAGAGAGAGTAAGGATGTTAGATCAACGCCCCCGCCGTCGAACTACAGATCTTTCCCCATTTTATAGGGAGGGGCATGATGAATTCCCAAGGAGCTGGCTAGTTTGTTAGTTACATGCTTGCACGTCATGAGGACGCGGATACTGAGTGGAAGCAAACAAGGCGACAGCCTCGTTTCCAACAATTATATGCTTAATTATGTGCCAAACATAGTGTACCTAGTATATATCTTATCACATATACATAATCTATGATCTAGGACGGTGGAAGCAGCAAGCAAGCAAATAAGCAAAGGACAGCGGTAGTTAGAGGAGTCTCTACGCCCCGACACAGCGGGATGACGGGCGTGATGAACATTCGCTCGCTCGCTCGTATCTATCCGATCTGACACATCAACTGACTTGTCAGACTTGGAGCCATGTTTTCGGACAAAAGTATATCAGTGGTGGAAAGGAGGGTGAAGATGACGCTCAGGGGCTAGGTTTAGGGGGGTTGTGTCCCGGCCTGTTCCCTGTTTGCGAACAGACTGACCGAACTGAGCACACTTCACTGGGTTAGTCACACTTCATTTCCCTAAAAACAAAAAAAAGTAAGCCGTTGTTGTAGGTCCCATGGCCGTGGCCGTGGTAAACATCCCCTTAGCTTCGTCCCGCTCTACAGATCTTGTCCTATGATATGGCAGTACGTGTTTGCGCCTCGCATATACAGACATACGTACATATATGTATCGCATTATCAGTACCAAGCAGGATATAGTGGTGGGAACACAACGCCCGAGATGTACTGTATCTATCTAGGTCCATGCATCATCGTGTGATCGTCGTTGGCGCTGTTAGCTGCCGCTGCTAGTTGCCGCTTCTGTCGTCGTGCTGCTGCGCCGTACCGAACCGTACGATGCCTGCGTGTACTGTACCGCTTTCTAACCCCCTTCTCTCCCACACGCTATGCGAGGGCAAGAAAGTAGACAGACAAGTCAAGTACGTAAGGTAGATAGGTAGTCTATGCAAGAATCCGCGGGACCGTCACGCGGGAAACATGCACCTGCGGGCCAGGAAAAATTATTCTTATCTAGTGCTCCCATCTATCTACTTCTGTCCTCCGTGATCGAGAGTGTGGCTCATTTATTGGAGCCAAGTTGGTCATGCTCGCCTTGCCAACATTGCTCGTTGGCTTTCCCCGGTCTGTGCTGTACGTGCCGATGGTGTTTCACTGCCGGGCCTTTTCGTCCCTCGCCAGAGGGCGAGACCATCCCGCGTACGCAAAACCCCCTCTTTGGTACGACGTAACGATACATACCATGATATTATGCCAATGAGAGAAGCTACCGGTGCAGTGAAATTGTGTCTAGTGATCAATGATGCCCCCTTAGTTATTTCATTTCGGCCTATCAAGCTAAGCTACCGTGACACGAAGACGACGTGGCCAAAGCCAGCCCGTGAATCCAGGGCGTTTTGAGAGTGATCGCGTGTCAGACATTCTTTTGCATTTCATGCCATCCCGCTACGCCTGCGGATACTGATTTAATGTTATGGTAGGTGTTAGGCTCGTCTCTGGGTTTCGTGCTCTCCTGTACGGGGCAATTCCATCACGACAGCCCTCCATTCACCATTTGCACCAATATATGTATGGTACACGATTGTATAGACATCTACATGTAATATGCTTGTTGGCTGTATGGAGAAGTATAGGTTCCCTTAGTAGGGTCTTGAGAACCATGGGTGTCTCAAGTGCTCGCCTTCTGTTTCAGTCTCTATCTGCTTGTCGATGTGTGAGGCTACACTGATCTGCGTACATGGAGCTCAAACAACTTCATAGCCTCGGTCTGCGATAGCTTCTTGAATCCCAATCTGGTAGGCGTAGGTTGGTTGCACTAGTCTTCGCTTTGCAGACCGGTTGTCCCACCCCCCTTTTTTGCCTCCTAACACAGCAGATCCAAAAAGCCTACCAGCATAAAATACATACACAGAACAACTAATTGAATCATTATTCAGCAGCGAATAAAATTTAAACAAACTAGAAAAAAAATAGAAAAAGAGAAAAAAATTATTGGTTGCTGCTCTTAGTCATCCTAAGAGGCATCAGGAATTGAGCCCGATGCGGGGGTCGAACCTAGGACAAGATCAGTATTCAATTGAACAACACCTCTACAACGGGAGGAATTCGCCACTCACCCGCAACCTTGAGATTAAGAGTCTCACGCTCTACCGATTGAGCTAACCGGGCAGGTCTAGGTAGATTGTTGAATTGGTATCGCGCCAGCACGCCTTAAAGATAGAGGAAGATGGTGGGGGCCGACCTAGCTCACGATGCTACTATAAAATTTGGTGTGCGGTTTGCTCCACAACAGAGTCAGGCTGGTGGCGAAACAAACGAACGAACGGCTCAAAAACCCTACTTACATAACTAGTCTTTTCTATTAATTATGTAGATGTGAAGTGGTTTTGTTGTGTGGGAATTGGTAACCCCCTGATCCCGGGAAAATGCGACCCTAGGCCAGATTTTGACAGGCTGTTGCCGTCGATCATTGACTTATCTGCACGAACAGGGCGAGCAGTGCATTGAACTGGAACCAAGATTTCGAAGCCATAAGTTACGAATCAAGGAACAGTTATTTAGAAATACTTAGCTACCAATTTGATTTCTTCAAAGAACAAGGCGTTTGTCTTCGTAGTAATGCACGTCATATCTTATTCTACCGTAAGCAGCCAGGGCGCGAAGGGTCCTAGGCCATACACCAATCGAAATTCAGGAATGCACTCGTGCAAGATGCAAAATTGAATAGTTTCTCCGAGTCCAAACTACTACGGAACAAAAATGCACATTCATTCACATCATTGCATGTAAGCCTCACAAAGTGCAAAAACCTGGATATGCAGAAGCGGGAAAATCAGCGCATTTGAGCATGTTATTGGTTGCTAACGAACTACTACCTAAGTACCGTACCTTGTTTTCGCTACCCTACAGAAGAAGTTTATGACCACACCACAATCTGACTGTGCAGCCGCCCCCCCGAAAGGAAAGTGCACAAAAAACAATTTCCCCGACGGACAGATGTTCCTCTAGTAAGGACCGAATAGGTAGTAGAGTGAGAGAGGAAGACGCCCAATGGGGAAGGGGAAGAAATTGAAAAGAGCCTCATTCATCCATCCACCACTCCCTGACATACCACATATGGAAGGAAACAACAGATGCGGGAAAAGAAAGGGGGAAGAAGGAAATGCCAGTTCAGCGGGATAAGCCGTAGTCATTTGTGTGCCAGTGTTGAAAAACGCCCTGCCTAGAAAATAGCCGCTACCTATTTAGCGCCGTAGTCAATTGATCAAGTTACATGTGGCTCGTCCATGTTTCCGTTTTCGTAATGTGAGTTGATCGAGTAGTGCTTGCGTCGTCGTCATCACTATTGTCGTCGCTATCATCGCGGTGTTGCATATAGTTGTTTCTAAGTTGCTCGATATGCTCGCGACCAGTAGGGATCTCGTCGACAACGATCTCAAAGGACGGGATATTGTCCTCAGCAGCCATGGCCTGGAAGAGACGCGTGAGGTCATGGGCGTGGAAGGTTCGTAGGTCGTATGGCTCGCCCGCGAACACGGCCTGGTGCACCTGCGCGCGCAGTAGCGGTCGGTTGCCGTATCGGTCGGCACTGTGGTTTGAGCCTTGAGCGCCCTTCTTGTCGCCCGTGAATGCGTCGGGGTTCATGCGCACGTCCGTCATCGCCGCGTTCTGCAGCGACTCGCGCGTCGGCTGGCACTGTGTGATGATGCGGTGCTGCCCGTGGCGCTGCCATTTGACCGTGATCAGGACGGTGTAGCTGCGCATGTGCGAGTTCGTGGTGGGGTAGGGGAATCGCGGTGGGTTATACCCGTTATTATTGCCACCAATGCCATTGCCGTTTTTATTGCTGGTGTTACCGTCGTTGCCACCAGGGCGACCGGAATACCTTGGGGGCGGGATGGCGCCGTCGATAAGGGGGATAGGGGGGCCCTCTGAGTGGGGGCCGGGAAGGCGGACGCTTGGGAACTGTACTGGTGTTGGTATCATCGTTTGGTTCATGACCTCTGTTAGACGATATGGCGTGCCACCAAAATTGCTCGATGCGTGCTGTGGGTGTGAGGGCGCGGGCATCATAGAGGGCATAGGAGCAGATCCATCTACGGGCACCCCATTAAACCAAGGGGCAGGGTATACGGAGGGTCCAAGGTGTCCAGGAGGGGGCGGCGGCAGCCCTGCCGCGTACGGAGAGGAGGGCGAGCGAAAGCGATCAGGGCGGGATGGGCGCGAGCGTTGCGCCATCCAGTTTGTGTAGTCGCTGAAGTCCCGAGACCCTGGCACTGGCCCTGCACGCGAACGCCGTGCTGGCTCGTGAGTGCTTGGACCTGTCGGAACACGGCCTCCATGGCGAGTATCTCGTCCACCGGGACGCTTCTTATCGTTGGATGAGGTACTGGTCTCTGGCGTGAGCTTCGGGGCCATGGCCTCGTCACCAGAGGTCCCCCATTCGGAGAAGGCGGCAGTCGACGAGTCGGATCGTCCAGAGATGATGGAAGCGGCATCGTCGTCGTCCATTCTGGGCTCAGACTGTGCCTTATTGGGAACGCGGACAGGAAAGCGGGGGCCTGTGCGGACAGTCGGGACGCCGCCTGTCGTGAGGTGGCTATCAATGGCCTCGGATGACTTTGCGAGCAGAGACTCTACGGCCTTCTGGGCGTTCTCGCATGGCTCTGATCGCAGCAAGGTGGTACGCGTGGCCCCATTGCCCTGTATTGCGTACGCTCGAAAGAGCTTGTCTGAATGGTTCTTGCTTGTGATAACTTGGACTGTTTCGTCATCTTTGCCGATGATAAACTCGCAGTTATCTAGGTAACTAATCAGAACAAATAATTTACCTTACATAGGATAGGTAGAGGAGAGGGCTGACTAACCGACAATCTGTGTCCGAGTGTCAAAGACGTCTAGGACGACAGGCGAAGAGGTTGACGACGAAGGTGCCATAGTGCTACCTGGGGTGTGACAAAAGTGTGTGTAAGATGAATTTGGGGGCTCTTGGATCTCTTGGATGTGTACTAGCATCGAGAAGTAAGTGATGAGGTAGAAGCTTTCGGTAGTCAAGACCAGACACCTCGGAGACAAGATCTCTCTTTATATATCGATCCGGCCGTGTTTGCTACCCACACCTGCAGCAACATCCCTTCTGTACGCCCAGCCTGCCGGAAACCATTGGCTCGGTGACATGATACAAAATTCTGGCTAGGGAGTCCGTGTATGTCTGTGTGTTCCCAAGAGAGTCTGCCTGGCCTACTAGATACCTCGCAGACGTCTGACAAAATGCTAGCGTGAGACCTCCTGGATACACGCTGGCCCGCCCCCAAGTTGGAGGGAGAGACATGCTTGCGAAGCCTTAATAGTTACACAATCGACATGCGTCCAGGATCGGATGACTGCCGACCACCCACCAAAGTCGTTCGGCAAGTCGTGTGCACTGGCCAGCCGGATCTTGCTACCAAAAGTTCATTGTCAATGCGCCTGAGACTGAACGAATGCGATAGCAAATCGTAAGGCGGCCAGCTGCTGCTTTCTGAGGCGACCAAAAAGCTAATTCGGTGTCAATGATATTAGAAATTCCACATTCGAAGCTGAAAAGAGCAGCGTGGGCAGCCTAGTTCGGAGGGATGTTATGATAGGCTAGAAAGAGTGAGGCGAGCGACGTTGGGGTCTTTCCGACATTTAATCGTTTTAGTCGCACACCCCTGTTTACCTACCATCTGTAGTCTCCCTTGCCCCTAGGTATATAGCAGAGAGGGCTATGAGGAATCGTAAACAATGAAAGGGATATGTGCCGTTCTTATAAACACATGCAAGCTGGACGGCCAATATTAGAACCGGGATCTTGAGGGGCCCCATGGCTTTGGCCAGTTGTAATGTTTGGCGTGTAATGCATATACTCAAACTGCTATTCGGAAGCGGATTAGGGAAAAGCGCCACTTTAATGGCGAATGTTCGTATGTCATAGGTATAAGCCAATGAAAACGCCATCGCAAGATCGGTAGGTAAGATTGTCGGTCGGATTATGTGCCGCATGCCGAAGAACGCCACACAACCGTAAGGGAAAACATCCCACACCCCATTTTACATGCAGCTGAAATAATGTGCCATGAACCATACCATACGGCCTTGATTATTCGGCGAGAAAGGACGACGACGTATTCATGCTGACCACCAGGAGGGATACCAATTGACCGCCACTTATCCCGCATCTATGCTGACGCAGGTAATATCGATTTTACTATGCTACATTCTGGATACGAACGGACGAGATCATCCTCCCGCCTTTCTAGCGCCTTCTACCCGGCTACGGCTAAGCGCTCTAGCCTCGACTTGACAGCCTCAACCAACGCGGTCTCCCGCTCCAGCAGGCTCTTCACTTGGCCGATCTTAGAGCGTCTGAGCTCGGAAGGGATACGTAGGTCATCCTTTGCCGGATTTGAGTGGTTCTCTTCTTCGCTAGCCGGGGCGTCGAGAGCCTGGGCCTGTTCTTTGAGCTCGCCCTTGAGCTCCGAGATCTTCCTGTACCTATCCATCCACTGCTTAGCCCGGCTTGGCCCATCCACCGGAGCAGCCGAGTCGTCGATAGCAGCATCCAGAGCCTTGACTTCCTTGACCCAATCCTGTTCCTTGCGACTCAGTTCCCGATTCGTGGCCTTATTGATCGTCTTTCTCATCTTTTCTAATCTTCGGCTTAGAGCTTCTCCTTTCTCCCTAGCGCTCTGTAGCCTCTTCTCGATGGCCGCATTGCCTGACCCGGTCTCTTCGCTTTCTTCAAAGTGATCATCGTACGTGATGGCCTCGACCCTTGCCTTAACTTCATTTGCTTTCGTGATTTGTTGTTTCAATTCCTCTTGGAGTTTTGCACAGCGTAAGAACACCTCCGAAGCGGCAACGCCAAGCCTATGTGTCTCGTCACTGAGTATCTGATGGGCTTCGGTGAATAGCTGTAAAGTAAGTGGAGACAGTCGGATTTCTTGATTCACGACTGTCTTATGTCGGCTGGTGCGGAGCCGCTCAATAAACCTGGGGAGGACTGAACCTTCATCGAATGCGTGAGACGGCTGATAGACAGGGCGGGGCTCAAAAATCGCCAAGGGACGGACTTCCGGCAACTCTTGGCCGAGAGGTGGTGGCGTAGATTGTACAGGCAGAAAGTCATCATCGGGTGCGTCGAAAAC